TATGTATGTAATAATATATATATCTACAACAAGAATTATTGAAAATTGGATATGTGTAAGAATATTAGGACAAATACTAAATCGGTTTTTTTAAGGAAAGTTATAATTACTCAATTTTTTGTACTAATTTTTCATACTTACAAACTTGGCTCAACTAATTCAATATTAGAGATTTAATGCATGCGTTATTTGTAACAGTATAATGCATGTTTAATTTTTTAACTCTCCAAACAGAAACTGTATGACTGGTTTAGAACAGTTTTCGAAGAAAGTTCGTTCCGCAGTTGCCCACATTTTTTTTATTGCTTTGTTTCTTTAATTTCGCATGTATATATGTGTATATAAATTTGCTATATTTTAAATTTAATTCATTTATTTGTACTCGTATACGTTAGGTTTTCGTGACAAAATTCCATTTTATAAAAGCACATATGATGTTAAAATGAATTAAAAATCGATTTTTAAAATGAACAAGGATAATAATTTGGTAAATAAGCATTGAGGGTGTGTACATATAAGTGTGTATATGAAAAACATTTGGAATGATTTTTTTTTTTCTTTAAACGTTATTCTCATATAAAATATAATGATATAATTTTATTTTTTAGAGTACCTAGACATTTTTTTTTAAGTTTGTATAGGTCAATTACCGTTTTTGTTATATACAAAGTTGCAATTGCTTTATAATTTATTTTTATGTTAAAAGTTAAAACGTAAATTATAAATTTGCAGTTATTACCAATTCCTGATGATGCTTATGATGGGGGTTCCAAATAGCGTGTATACTTGTATGGTATAATTACAATAGAAAGTATAATTTTTAGGAATAGTTTGAGTGTTACTGTTACAAAAGTTTATAAGGTCGAGTATGTTATTTTGGATTAAATTTAGGACAATGACTTGTAATCGTATATCAAATAACTTTTATACAGAACTTGCATGAAGTATATACTACTTTAACAGTTCATGCAATCTGTGCTAGTTTCAAAAGTGAAAATTCTTTAGGTTAATTTCTTTAAATTTTCAAAAATTTTACGACATTATTTGATTTTGATTCTCTCTCCTTTGATTAAATTTTCTATACTACATATAAATAATTTTCAAAATTGTATAAGATTGCCATCTATATATGTATACATTTTGTGAACACCTCTACAGGTATATACAAGTAAAGTCAAATTTAAAATGAAATAAATTTTTCTGAAGGACATTTTAATGAAAAGTTTAAGCAAAAAGATAACGTTAATAAATTTGAAATTGGCATGTTTTTATCACATCAATTTTAGTTTTATAGTGAATTTAAATTTTATGTTTGTATTTAGTTTTTTAGAATTGAATTGGAGTTTTTTTTATAGATATCTATATATATGTATGTATACACATGTGCATGTGTTGTTTGAAAGAATATTTATGTATAAAATGTACCTATGATTGTAATTTGAAAAAAGGGAAGGCCAAAATGTAACCGCTTAATGAATTGGCATAAAAAATATTTATTTGATTTGTAATTTTATCAGGCCTTAGCCTGAAATTACCTTTCGAAGTATTTTTAAATTAAAATTTTTCTTCCTATAATTCATTACCCTTTCATTGAAGGAAAAATCTTTTGTGATGGATATATGTAAATCGCTGTTGTAAAACCATTTGAAACATAATTCTTGTTAAACTGTAATAAAAAGTTGATTCGAACTCATTTTTGGTTAGAATTGTTATAACAATATTAATATTTGTTTATTGTATATGTGAGGTATTGCATAGGGATCAAACTAAATTCTTTGTTCATTAAAAATTTTTAATTAAGTGTTTTGTAAATGAAGATTATATTTTTAAAATAAGCGAAAAAATCTAAATATTTCACTTGTCTAGTTGTAAGGCTATTATTTTCTTTAATATAAAGCAAAAGAGGTTGAGTAGTTACTTTTCTGAACTGGTTTTTTTAAGGAAATTTGCAAGATCGCAATCTTTAATAACATTTAAATGCTTTTTTTTGGAGATCAATCTAAATTTTGTGAAAATAAATTCAAAATTACCATAAAATTATAAATTAACTACAAAGAAAATTTTTTATACATTTTCCAGAATAATAAACTAACAGTTTGATTAGCATTTCATATTAAGTTTATTTTTGATATTTTCCATATGAATGGCACATACCTGAAAACCTCAATTTAAAAAAAAATTTTTGTGGTTTAGTTATTTTTGCAAATGATGAAAGTATAGTTCTTAATGGATTTAAATTAGAACAATGGGAAATCTACTCTCAATTTAGAATTAACAAAGGATAAGCAATTATTTTGTATTTTATTTTCTAAATTTATTGTTGTATATTACATAACAATATGTACAGGAACGTGTATATGTGTATTATATAACCACAATATAAATTATTAATTAAGGGTATACATATAATATGTGTATATTTATGAATTATATGCTTATATGCATGATGGTATTGTTGTTATGAAAGAGATTTTTGGCATAAAATGTATAACAAATTATAAAAAAGGACCTTGAATATTTAATGTTCATAAATTTTACTAAATCATTTTCATTATAATTTAAATGCTTTTATAGAAATAGAAATTTTAAGTAAATTTTATTCTTTTTTCCTAAAATAAGGAAAATTTAAAATAAAAATATTTCTTTATATATGTTGATCAAATTGATTAGATCTTTTGAGTTTAAAAGCAAAAGTAAAATATAAAACTTGAGGCAGTTCAATTAAGCACAGTCACAAAATTGTATAATTTTCATTGTCTGTGGTATTTTGTATTTTAATTTGGATCTTGTATTAATTATCAATAATTTCTTGTCTGTTAATGGTAAATAGCCCTCTTGTTACAATGAATATATTCAAAAATAATTTAATACATTTGCGATATTCCGGAACGCGTATTAAAACCAAATGTTTAAAACTATACAAAACAATTGTCATTATTAAATTTGAACTTAATTCTTTAATAATTCAAGTTACATACATATTATTTAGTATAAATGGTCTACAATTTTCAATGAAACTAAATTCAAAATGGTCTCATTTGTATTAAGTTACAATTAAAATATCCTTAATTATTTAAATACACTCATTATTCTACACATAATCAACAATAATTAACATTAATAAATTAATTTTTTTCTTTTTGAAAAAAACTTGGACTGTTTAATTTTCGTATTAAGTCAGTTTTAGACAATATAGAATAAAAGGGGAAACTCGTTCACCTAATTATATTATAATTTAAAGTTTTATAGAAAAAAAAAATAGATAATCTACTTATAATACTCGTAAGAATAAGGCAAATTGTAAAAGTGTACATTTTTTCTGTTGAAAATTAAATATTATAACGCATATTTACATACACAGAGTGGTTCGAAGCGGAAATCCTCCAAGACTAGGCTTTTCAATTAGTCTAGTCTTGGAGGATTTAATTTTGGGTTTAAAGTTTATTTTTGGAGGTTTCAAATCGGACTCAAAAAATTCTGACCGGCAAATAAATTCTGACCCATAATAAATTCGAAGCTTTTCTTATCATAAAAACTTCGAAGTTTATTGTAATGTAATGAAAGAAATGGAAGGAAAGCTTTTATATCGAATTTTTTTTCTTTTTACTGTTGAAACTAGCTATAGTGAGAAATTTTGGCAAAATGGGGTTCAAATATCAGTGCAGAATTTAACTTCGCCCGAACTCTATTTTTTTGTCTATAATATTTATTTGAAAATTTTAATATTAAAAACATACATATTTCTCATATATTCCGCAAAACAATTAACTGATATATGGAAATATTTCAATTTATAAATATTTACTTGTAAGTCAGACAATGAGAGTTTTTGTTTGCTATCAATTGAAGTTAATTAACTTCTATTGTGCCAATTGAAGTTAATTGGTACTCGTAGTTAATTAAAATTTTCTTCTTCGAATATTTCTTGAAGACGAAATTAGTCTCAAAATGAATGAAAAATTTGCTCTGAAAAAATTTACCTAGCTTTAGGTAACATAAAAGATAAAACATTTTTTTTTGAAGAACAAGTACTTCTAAAACGAGGAAATCCTAAAATTATAGCTTGAACCAATATACAACTATTGCTCGTATTATACATTAAGTTCTCAGTCTAAAGCAATAAATTTACCTGTGACTAATTTTCATGAACCTAATATAGCGTGTTTTTCACCGTTCCTATTTATTTTTTAATTACTGTATACATATATTTATACATACATGCATTATATATAGTATATGTTATCTATAATGCGTATAGATATAGAAAGGAGGAAGTTATGTGTAAAGTATAATACAAAATAAAATTTATAATTTGTAATTTAAGGCAATGATTTATAAACATGGACAATGCGAATTTCCAGGAAAAAAATAATAACTGAAATACATATTATGACTATGATATACATTTGAATGTACATATTATATCATTGTATATATATAAGTGTATGCATGTATACATATTGTATAACCAAAAATACTTATATATGACACAATATAATTCAAATAAAGGTATTCGTTTCAAAACTGGCCTGAATTCTATTCTAATTTCTGTGCATATCGAGAATGATTGAAATACTTCTGAGTTACTTGCGAGAAAGAGTTGTGTTTAAACAAGCCTTAAAATTTTTACCAATTTCCTCACTAGACCTTTATTAAAACAAAAATCGCTTATGGTTTTTTCTATCATTTAGAAAATTTCATCTTTGTCAAAAAATAATCAGTTGCAAAATTGCTACTAGAGTAATTCTGCTTTTAAATTAAATACTTACTTCTCTATGTTATAATATTTTGTTATGATTTTATATATAATAATTTTTATTTAAATTATAATATATAATAATATAAATACCTAAAATGTTCATTATCATTTAAATTATTGTGCTGTTAACATGAATCAACATAAAATTATCATTATTGTTATTTTATATAATATAATGTTACAATTTTATATGCATATATTTATTACATTCATTATTATTTTTTTATATTTTTATTTTCAGAATCCGTTGGTGAATTGAGAGCCAAAAAGGATGGTTTAACATCATTTTCACCGGTAGGTCCTTGTTATAATGTCCTTTTTATTCTTTTCATTATTATTATTATTACTATTGTTATTATATTTCCATTTATATATTTTTTTTATTACTTATATGCATATAAGGTAGCCCTTGTATGAGCATATACATACATATAATAGATATATAGTAATTTTGTATTAGTATATAAGAGTACATATATTGCATATTGTTGCTTTTTCATGTTTTTCAATATTTTTCTCTTTTCTCTTTTATCGTTTTTATATTTTATTTACTTTATTGTTGATAAATTATGTGAAAATTTTAGAAAGATAACAAATGTATATAGAATTTAAGGGGTTCAAGTAAGAATAAAAAAAATGTTTATAATTTTCTTTTTATTTATTCCCTTAACTAAAAAAATTTTATGTACATTTGTACTTATTTATGTAAGGATTTATGTTATATTTGAACGAAAAGCCTTGTCATGAAGGATGCTTTTACTCTTTTGTATTTTCTTCTTTTTTTATTTTCCTTTTCCCTAGTTTTTGTTTTTGTTCATTATTATTTTATGTTAAAAAATTTTTTAGACACAACGAAAGCAGTAAAAAGGAAAAGAAAGAAAAAAAAGAAAACGAAAATTAGGGACTTCTTGAATTATAAAATTTATTGTTATAGATAAAAATGTAAATTGGAGGACATTGGAGAATATAATGCATGAATATGATTTGGATATAAGTATATATTAATGTCTATGAATGTGAGTGTGTATGTTAACGTATTTATGAACGGATAATAAGTATATATGTGTTTATGTATGTATATTATATGTATAATATGACATGTATGTATGTATTTGAAAGGAAAAGGAAATGTTATAAAATATAAATGTAAAACGACAATATTAAAGAAAATGTGTGCTTTGAGAATAACAAAAGAAAATCAAAAGTAAAAAAACAAAATAATAAAGGATATGATCCTCTGTTACATAATATATACAGTGTTGACATATTGTTGAAAGAAAATCAAAAATTTTCATTATTTATATAATAAAGAATATTAAAAATTAAAAATTAAAATTATTTATATTCTTGTAATTCAGAACAGTTCTTATATTTATTTTTTTAATATAATTCGGTTTATAATTTTATTGTATTCAAAAAATTGTTGATTTGGGATTTAAAAAAAATTTATAAATTATATTTTTTTTTTGTAGAAATGGATTTTTCAATTGAAATATAGCATTTAATCCATATATATAGTCGTAATATGGGATTGTAATATGCAGTTAAAATATATGGTAATTAACCCTTTTTAGTACCACAACTTTATTTTTTGTTTCGGCATATTGAATCAAATTGAATAATATTTAACGGGAGATTATAAAATTTTTCTTGTCAGAAAAAAATGTTATACTCTTTTAAAATTGCTTTGACTTCAAATGACCCAAAACAGTAGTTAAAAATAGGGTTAAAATATATTACAATTTAATAAAATTGAAAAATTTGAAGATTTTTTAGATAAAATATTCTTCTATCAAAATTTAGTTCTTAAATTGCCTCAATGAATATATGAAATCGAAATTGATAAAGTGTTTAAACAAAAATTCTAATATTTTATAAAACCACCAAAATTTTGTGTTACTTATCCAAAGTGTGCTTATTTCCAGTTTTCTAGATTTTTTAAAACAATTCTATGTAATACAGAATTGTCTTCCTAAATCAGTTCTCTTTCTTTATAAAACTCTTATTCTTAATAATAAATGCGTAAATAGTTTATAAGAACCATTATAAAATTAGTGTGAAGCGACTATGGAAAAAGGGCGATAGGAGAACAAAGATCAGTTTTTATTAGTGGCTTTGATATTTCATTCCTACAATTAGAATAATATGTAATGATATCTTACTTACTACTTGCAATGTTTAACTTACTAATGTTTAATATTTATCTTACTTATACAATATACTTGCAATGTTTAATTGAATTCCTCATTTGAATCGCTATGTACTAACTGATTTATTGTACAATGTTTTATGTGCATATAAATAAAAAATACCATATTCAATTTCAAAGTAAAAATATAAAACGATGTTAAATAATATTTGAGAACTTAATAAAGTTGGGTCAAACCAATGGTTTGTATTGTAGCACTTTTCTCTTCAACAAGTGAAAATACTGCTTTTAAAAACAGTCTATGTATATCCACCACACTATTAAAATTATTTTCATTTATAAACGAAACTATTTCTAGCATTGCATATATTTAGGATGAACCATTTATGCAGTCTTTGAAATAAAGCAAAAATTAATATAAACAGGGGTTAACATAATGCTCGATTTTAAGGGTTAATTGCGTGAGTTAAGAAAAATAATTATATTTTTTAATGTCGTGGAATTTACCGTTAAATTTTTGCGTTTATAGAAATTTGAAAAAGCTTGCGGTTTCAGAAATATAAGGTGTCAAAAATGCAAATTTTACAAATTTCAAGAGGCCATAACTTGAGAGGGGATGGAGATGGAAAAAAATTTTCTTCTAAAGAAATGAACTACTTGTTAATGTCTAAAAGTCCCTAAAATTTCAAGCTTCTACAGGCTGGGGTCTAGAAGAAAAACGACATCAAAAATTTGGAAAAAAAGGACTGTAGATAACGGTAAATTTGAACGGCCATTTTGTTTTTCTAAAGTTTAACTATAGTATACTGCGGTAGGGGAAGCAAGCCACTGCCTTTCTGCGTTTGCAAAATTTCAAAAACGCTTATGGTTTCATTGCAACAAATATTTAAAATAGGCCATTTTTAGTGCTTTGGGGGGGTATAACTTCTAGAGGGGGGGAGATAGGTAAAAATTTTGTTCTACAAAAATAAGTTTCTAGTAAAGATCTATGTACATATTAAATTTCAGCTTTCTATCTTTAAGAATGTAGAAGTTTTGTAAACAGACACACGGACAGACGGACGGACGGACGGACGGACAGAGTGAAACTAATAAGCACTTTTTTTCAAAAAATTTTTGGAAAAGTGCTAAAAATGAAACAGCTAAATCTGAAAAATCAATAAAATTTCGTAGTAAAGATTTATGATGTTTTTCTTTACTTTTTGTATCTTCACTTTTCATATTGTTTTCGAATTTTTGTTTATTGTTATCAAGTCCATTTATAGCTTTTATTTATTATTTTTTATTTGTACATTTGTATATTCATTTGCAATATATGTACACAATATGTAAATTTCTATACATATAGTGCAAAATATGTAAATATGTGTAAATATCTAAATTTATTTATTCAATTTCGAAAAAAATGGCTGTATTCAGTACATGTACGTTATATATGCATTTTTATATTATTAAAAACTCCTGAAAAATCACATTACAAAAAAAAATCGGTTGATTTTAGTAACGTTTCAAGGGTTTTGTTATAAATTTTTCAATTTTGTTTTCCTGTTTCATCATTGTGAATTAGTGTAATAGAAAAAAAAACAAGGACAAACACAACCGTTCTTTCTTTAATGAAATTAGAATGGTCCACGTATTTTTAGGTTAGATTTGAAAACAAAATTGGTTCAAAAAAAAAAATTCTAAATTTAATGGCATTAGTGATTGAAAAAGGGTTGAATTTATTTTGACCATCTATACGTTAATGGGCAATAGGAAAATTCGTAAACAACTTTAAGTCTAACGATTTCAACGAAACGTGTACCAAACGAAAGATACATGAAAATTCACTTTATAGCAATACGCTTTCAATAAATTGTTGTTACACCAAGAGCATATTCTTGCCCAGATTCAAATTCAAGGTCGATCTAAATATATTACCGCCCGTCTGAAGCTCTCATTCAAGAACACAAAGAACTAATAAATTTAAATTTGCAATAGGTGCGTACATTTACTGCTAGTAGAGTGATGTTGAAAGTTACAGAGATTGGCCACCTATAACTGATATTTTCTATAAATGGTCAAGTTTTTTGACCATCGATCGATCGGTCCTCAAAGATTTTTTAAACAATTAGTCTAATATGACAATACTAAGTATCGTTGCAAAGATCTTCAGTACCTTACAAAGAAGGTACTGAAAAACTGTTATTTTTTCAAAATAGATCCAATGATGTTACAAGTCCCGGAAAAGATCCCGAAAGGGACCTATTTAAAATTCAAGGCATTTGTTTTATGATGGTCTAATACGTTTACCGAGTTAAAAGTATAAAAGTTTTGAGTTAAAATTAGTTTCTATTTTATTGTATCTCTTATTCTAGTCTAAATTACACAATCTAAAAGGCTAGATCCTAATCCGATTCTCAATATGCGGTTAGAATCTCGACCTCCAATTCTAGCCTAAACTTCTCGCATTCGATTTGACGAAAATATATTTTAATGTATGGCAACGAGACATAAAAAAACTGTTTTTTAAAAAAATTTTAAATTGACTAGCGTAAAATTGACAAGCGTACAGATTGATTAGCCCTCCAATTGGCATATGTAAATGTGCCGTTTTTTCCAACTCTCTCGCGAAATCCGATGATCATTGTGCGTTCAGCTATTCAGCTAATTCAGCGTTCAGTTGATTTGACGCCATTAAGTTTTTTGCTTCAATGATATGTGAAATCTTTTTCTTATGGCAACTATTGCATGTTCATATGACAGCTATGGAAATCAATCTATGTGTAATTACTGAAATTGGACTAAATTCTTGCATTGTTTTGAAGAATTTAAAAATTAAGCTGGTTATCAATAATCATTTTCAATATTAAATTATAAATAAATTGTCTTAATCAATTTTGAAATATTTTTCCATTGACTGGCTATACTGAATAATTTTTAATTGTTAATTGTCTTACCAAAATATTGAAACATGAAATTGGTAATAATGCAAAATTCGTTGTATGTTAACAATGCTATCAAATATGAATTTGATTATTTTGTGTATCAACACTTCCTCACATTTTATCTCTATACCAGTATTCCATGTACATTAAATATGATACGACAGTAGAATTCGACCATTTTTTTGTACAAATGATTATGATTTAGGTGATTTATTGTT